CCGGCGATCCTTCCGCCTCAGCCTTCCAAGTAGCTGGAACTACAGACGCGCGCTACCGCACCCGGCTAATTTTTTTATTTATTGTAGAGACGAGGTCTCACCAAGTTGCCCAGGCGGGTCTCGAATCTGCGGGCTCAGGCAATCCACTCACCTCAACCTCCCAAAGCGCGGGATTACAGGCTGAGCCACTGAGCCCGGCTAGAACATAAACTCTTGAGCAGTCCTTCTCAAACTGTCCCATCTACTGATGTATAGAGACAGATCTTCTTATTGGTTATGTATTTATTTCATGTTTATTACAAAATGAAGTCATCAAACCACTTGCTTAAGATAAAGCTAAGGTACACATATACATTTAAATGAATTGTTAGGAAAGTAATATAGGTAAAACTCAGATATGGCAACATTATGACAACATGAATGACAGGATATGGTAGTATGCCCTGTAGACCAAAGCGTCATGAGCACCTCTGATGCTTTTTTTGTTTTTGTTTTTGAGTTGGAGTCTCACTCCATCGCTCAGGCTGCAGTGTAGTGGCATGCTCATGGCCATCCCAGTGTTGACCTGCTGGGCTCCAGTGATCTGTCCACTTCAGACTCCCAAGTAGCTGGTACTACAGGCACGCACCACCCCCACGCAACTTAATTTATTGATTTTTTTTGTAGAGATGGGGGTCTCACTATGTTGTCGAGGCTGGTCTCAAACTCCTGAATTCAAGCAGTCCTCCCACTTCAGCCTCCCAAAGTGCTGGGATTACATGTGTGAGCCACTGCATGCAAACTCTTACTCCTATTTTCTACCAATTCTTACCACCCACAAATCCTCACCTTTTGATTATAAAACAGATCTATGAGGACAGATACTATGTCTTGATTATCTTATTTGCCTTGCCCATAGTAAATGCTAAAGAAACAAATGAATGAATACATGATTGTTCTGCTTCCTGATTGTTCATAGCCCCTTATACTGCTCTAACTTGCCTCTTTCCCTTAGAATGTCACCTGTCATCCTTATTTAACCAACACTTCCATTCTCCAGTATTTTTATAACTCTTTTAGACGTTGATCTGATTGCAGTATTCATTCATTTATTCAACAAATATTTATTGAGCAGCCACAGTGCCCAATAGTAGGAATATACTGATTAGGTAGATATGATACCTTCAAGAAATTGTTAGTTTAGGCTGGGCGCAGTGGCTCAGGCCTGTAATCCCAGCACTTTGGGAGGCCAAGGTAAGGGGATTGCCTGAGCCCATGGGTTCGAGAACAGCCTGGGCAACTTGGTGAGACCTCATCTCTACAATAAATCAAAAAATTAGCTGGGCATGGTTGCATGCACCTGTAGTTCTGGCTACTTGGGAGCCCAGTGGGTGGAGGCTGTGGTGGCCGTGAACATTCCACTGCACTCCACTGCACAGCCTGAGCAACAGAGTGAGACTCTCACACACACACACACACACACACACACACACACACACACACACACACACAAAATTGTTAGTCTAGTACAGGACACCTATAGTCAGTTACAACCAGTATAATAAGGGCTGTGGTTATTTACAAGA